GATGATGATGATGATGATGATGATGATGATGATGATGATGATGATGATGATGATGATGATCAAACTCGTGGAAGCCACGCGCGAAGCATCGGAAGGACTAATCGCACCCGCTCTCCATCCTCACCACTGATAAATGCCCCTCCCTTCTCTTCAAAATAGAACAGTCAAGTCCCGGACAACAAAAACCTCACGTCATCCCGCAATGCACTTCACAGATTCCCTACGTCACAGCGCTTTCCTTCCCCTCCCTGCCACTCAGTGGCTCATGGGGCTCACGGGCGAGAGCGAACCCGTGGAGAGGGGCGTGCGCGGGGAGAGGGGCGAGATCGAGCGCGAGGTGGAGCGAGACGAGTGCCGCGGATCCGGTCCAGTGCAGTGGAAGAACATCAAGACCTCGGTCCAGGGGGACCACCCGGTCCCCCGGTCCAAGAACGCCAAGAACATCCCCCGGTCCAAGACCACCTCGGTCCTTTGTCAAGTCCAGTGCAGTGAGTAGAAGGTGGTCTGTTTGCTGGTTCGCCCCGGAGAAGGTGAGACTTGGCAAAGGTGTGGCAGGTGTGCGTCCAAGGGCGATCAATTCAAGCAGGGGGCATGGCAGCTGTTTCGCTAGCCATGCCAACGAAGCTATTGGATTCAGCTTTTGCTCTTGCGAGCTTACATTCTAAGTGTGTGCATGTGTGTCTGTGTGTGTGTGTCTTTCTTTGTAAAGCTTGATGCGGGAAACACGATGAGTCATAACTCAACCGAACAGTATAGCAGCTTGGACTGACAAACCTGACGAACTGTGGGAGAACATACCACATACTTGACGGATTTATTCCAAATGAGTGACAGTGATACTCTCCAAGAACTACTTTAGGCCGGACAAAATGGGTCGCTCTCCCACTGAATGTTCCATCGATTCAGCTGTTCCCCGCTGAATTTTTAAATGTTCAACTAAACGTGACTAGAGGAACCACCCGAGAACACAGTGATGGTCTTTGGTTTTATCACTCTGCGCTACTGCAGGTCCTGTTCGCATCACAGGAATAAAAATAGTGGACTATACGACATATCATATTTCTTAGCCTCATTTCAGCACAGCTGCCAGCCACAATAAACATATTCAAATATTGCAAGGACTCTATCAAACAAATTGATGGACATAATCCTGCACAGGTTGGAACTGTACAAATGCCTTGCTCATCCTCATCCTTGGCATCTTGAAAAACAAAGCCACCTCACGGGTTTCCTCACGGTGGCACAGGTTGGAAGACTTCCAAACATGTCTGAACCCACGTACCTGCCGCCTTGGTGCAACAAACCCCCGTACCTGCCGCTTTGGTGCAACAAACCCCCGTACCTGCCGCCTTGGTGCATGCACCTGCTCCGTGGCGTTCTTGGCCAGCTGCATGTGCCCTGAAATGGTCTCAGTTTTCTCGTCCAATTTCAGGGGCAGCTCGTCCTCGGAGAGATTTGGCAGCTCTCCGGATTAAGTTCGTCGGCTCCAAGAATCAAGCGGCCCCAAACCCAAGTATCCACCAACCCAAGGATCCCCGCCAAGGATGTTTGGTAGACTTGACTTCGCTTGTGAGCCCCAAACCAGCAACCATGCATCCGCTTTGCTACCGTCAAGGCTGTGGATCTTGGCTCCCATAACGCCTATGGCCCACCCATAACCCTCTTTTTTAACAAAGCTACGTATTATATAACAGTGTACTCTGTACCTTCGCAATCATCCCTCATCTCATCGGTTTGAAAAATGGATGGCGCGAACACTTGTTGCAAAGGTTAACTGGTGGTTCAAGCAAAAGGTTCACAAAAGGTCCTCACAATTGACGGACAAAAGCCCATAGAAGTCTAAAAGACCATCTGCACTACATAGTCGGGGATCCTGATCTCCACCCAGTAACGGCAAGGCTGAGTCGAACCTTACATGTATGGAAAAAAAACAACATGCATGCCTATACATTGACCCCTGAAACCAGCCCGTGCATGTAACTATGCCCTGCATACATGGAGTGTCTGGTTATGAGATGTTATGAGCCTAGTGGGTTGTTGCTTCCGTGGCTTCGGACCCGGATGATCCTCCTCCAAGCTTCAAAGGAGAAGGCCCGACTTGGCAGCGGCTCGTTGCGTTCCAGGAACAAGCGACCCTCTTGGGAAATCCGCTGCATGAGCATACAAATGTTCCTTGGGTGCAAGCATGCGGGGAACACACCGTGTAACACATGAACCCACGGTTTTGGAGCTTGTTGGGAATTCTTTTTTTGGGATCAGGACTGGGATTGAAGGCTATGGTCATGGTCATGTCAGTAATGTCACTGTATGTTTATATTCCAAGTTTTGCAATGGCAAAACCAACAATGGGGGGTTTTATGATTCCCGCTATCACAATCCAACAACATGTTGCAAGAGCTGCTTCGATTCCTCAGCCAGTCCGAGCAAACACCTTTATATAGTTTGGGTCTATCCTATTACAAGTAACAGTGGATGATGATGGTTAGCTTGTAGGCCTTTCTCTAAGATAGTGAAAATGGTTTCCCGACTGTTGCAGGTAATAGGACAGACCTCAAGATAGGGAAACACAATGGCCACTTGGCAAAAGGTTTCTGAAAGCGTAGCATCTACTGGGAACCGCTTTCGACACGTGCCAACCCCTCGGAATGGCGACACCCGAAAGCGCACTGCAAATGTGGTCCTCGTGAAAAGGAGGCAGACACAAAGTGGCAAACATGCCAAACTCAGTGGCAAACTCCACAACTCCACGGCCAGACATGGACCTAATTTGCACCAGAGGGAAAAAGAGCTGTGCGGACATGTTCTTTCCTGTACCTTGCTAGGACAGCTATGCCACAGTGTGGAACGTGCACCTTATGGTCGGTGAGACTTGCGCACACCAACTGAGCCTTCGCGCCAAAGACGAGGCGCTGTGGGAAGAGCGTCCTGAGTGACTTTCCCACCACCTCTGTCCTCAGCGAACCGTTGGACAAGCATCGGGCAACAAATGGCAGGGGTGAGCAGGATGGCCTGCAGACCAAGGAGCAATGGGGCTGTGGCAGCAACCACGGTCAGGAGGTCAACATCCAGGTCCAAGCAAACCCTGGCGGAAGACCGTCAATTCAACAGGCTAAGTGAACTGGCGGGAGCACACGCGACTGAACACAAGGGTGCGCAGAGTTACAGACCTCGACTTATGAGCCAAAAATGAGCCAAGAAAAGCACACACACGACTCATGAAATCCACATGATTTGAGGGAGAACCACATTGATGTGAAGCACACCAAACATCAAACATGCAAACAAAGAACATCTTTTCTTTCCGTTACGCCGAGGGTGGGTCGCCCGCGGCTGAAAAGAACATCTTTGAACATGCAAATCATGCATCAAACGAAACAAATGTCCATGGTCATCATGATGATGAAACACTGAACTCCCATCACCCACTGAAGGCCACGAAGGGCATTTTCCCGGCCTCGCTTGCTGGGATCTTTCCCATTCTGGGCTCCTGCAATGACACACACGAGATCTGAGGTCGCTTCATGGCGAAGTGGTGTTCACGGTTTTCCTTGGCATGGTGCAGTTGTGTGCAGTTTTTCTAGGACGATGCTGGGGAAGGCTTCACTGGATGTTGCTTGAGTTTTTTGGTTGCCAGCAAACTGCATGCAGGCTATGAAAATACATACCCACCTGGTGTCACATCCACCCTGCTGGTCCTTCCCCTTCGCTGATTTGGACTGGCCAACCACTTAACAGTAGTTGGAAGTGCGATCCACTGCAATTGGGGTTTCATCGACGATTGGTGTGCCAAGTGAAGAACCAACAAACAAACCCTGCATACGGAGTTCAAGAGCGCCAACATGGGCTACCAAATCTATTGTCGACTGAATTTGGCACATGAACTACGCACATGCCTCACCGCCATGATTTGTCTCAAAATTTGAACTGGACGTAGGTCACAACATGACAGATGATGATGGCTCTGATGGCACGTATCTTCTGACATACCGTCATACCCATGGATGTTCAAGGAGGGTCCTGAACCTGTTTATTGAAAGGCTATAGGCGATATATACGATCCCCGCCGGTATCTTGTGGCATAACATGACCATGATTAACGCCCGTCTCACGTACGCCCGTGATGCCCGTCTGACTGACGCCCTGGCCCCGCTGGCCTGCCGGAACCACTGAACTGGTCCTGGGCGCATTGAGAAGGACGAAACCCGGTGAGGGAGCAGGGGGCACGTTACAGATGGCGCATCTTATTGAAAAGGTGTTCATCTGATAGCTGCGCCGCCAAGCCAAGCACTGGGGAAGAACCTGCAAAGAACTGACAATTCTAATGATTATTCTTTCTCACAGAATGCCAGGAGCTACCCTGTTTTATGAGCCATCGTCACCTAAAAGCTAAGCTGCCTTCCAAGACATACAAAGGAGATCAAAAGAGTCTCGCTTTCCAATGGGATTTCGTTACTTCGCTGTAACTACGCAGTTCGTCTGTCGGCTGTCGGCTATTATCCACTTTTCCATTTTTGATGGGATCCAACCCACCAACGAAGCGTGGATGAGCGAAACGCAATGTTCATCAACTGCAAACGCATAGAGCCTGGAGCCTTTCCTTAGAGCCTTGGATGTCCTTACAGCTGGACAACCTCTTGTGCCCTGGACAGCGGTGGTAACAGGTCCTTATTACTTATGGAAAATCAGCACGTCAATGGGAACGCAACCACCTCTGACACTATGCACTACTGTTGATGGAAGAAATCCTGCACAACCGAGCTGGCATGCTTGTTTTGGTGGCGAGGACATTGTCACTCACAGTTGGAGGCAGGGGTGAGTTTTTATCACCACTTGATCTTGACTTTTCGCTCCATGCTGAAGCTGTTTGTACAAGTTGAGGAATGCCAACTCTTTCCAGCGGAACTGGTCCCCAATGACAATAAATCCAGCGGCCGCGTTCTCCCGAAGGGTACGATTGCCAACGCCGATGTTTACATGTCGGATGATGAACACTTGCAATTGGTGCGCTTGTTTGATGATGGAGCCTCTTGTCCCTTGTCCTCATGGGACATCCCGTCGCCGGTGGTGCTTAATTAGTTTGTGCACGTTCTTAGCTTTTCACAGTGCTATACTCCAGAGTGGGGGTAGTTGCGAGACTTTACGGGCGCTCGCGATGGTGAGGAAGAAATCCTGCACCACCTGGACCAAATACAGGTGCTGCTGGCTGGTGCTGGGTGCTAAGGTTGGTCTCAAGGTTATTGTATAAATATGTATAAATAGTCCTAATAAATTACCGCGGTGTAGATCCAAACAAGTTGATCCCAGAAAAGGAGATCGAAAAAGGACATCCCCGCAATGGTCTTGGCATGTCTTGGCAACTCAGTTGCTTTCCACTTTCAAGACCGCATCCCAGCACCGATCAGGGGATGTCCGTTCGCCTCTCCTGTAGATGATGGCCACTTTCACTGCCCTCGCTGACGCTGGGGGCTTGGGCTTGGGTGTCCGTGATGTCCTGCTCGCTGTCGTGGTTCGATTCGAAGGTTTTCCCGGAATTGAAGCGAGGGGTGCCGATGGGGGCAAGGATCTGTGGTCATTCTCAGCTCCCAAAGCCCTTTGCCCAAGTGACATCTGGTCTGAATTGATTCTCCAACGGGAGCCATACTTTTCCAATTCAATGGTGAGATGACTGCGAGTCATTGTCAAACCTTAGAAGCCTTGGCTGTTTGACAGATTGGGGACGTTCAACAAAAACGTGGTGCAACAAACACATATGGATGTGCTCACGCTTGGGCTGCACTCATTGGATGATAGTTCGGTAAAACAACTTGTTTGATCTCACAAATTCTCGCAGTGATGTACCGTATCTCTACTATCTGAAGAGTGCCGACATGTGCTGGCTGGAAACAAAACAAACATTACAAATCCTCTGGCCTTCGGCCCCAAACCTGGCATCACCGCCCATCACATGGCATCCAAAAGCCTCTTCGCCCCTTTTGTGTTCGCACATCACGTTCGGGGCTCAAGGAGTACGTGGTCGTTAATGGAGTCCAACCGTCAGCCGATGAGGTGGAGTAGGTGAAACACCCAACAAATTGTCATCGTCAGAATCTCAAGTCCAGTGCTCACAATGCATTTCGAGCTTTACAAGTTGTTTCTGTTCCATAATTGGTGCGGGGAGCGTGTCCAGGTCGTATGAAATCTGCGTGTTTCGTTCTGTCCTTGATGCCTACCAGGTGACAGGTCTCACCGCCTGGCTTCCGAGACAGGGCGCCAGTCGAGGTTTCAATGGAGGAAACATGGAAAACAACCAAGTCGACCTAGTGAATTGTCAGTGTGTCTCGAGGTTGGGAAACAAATGTACATGGCTCCAACATCGATGCAAATGCACATTCTAGTAGTCTCTATCCTGACTGCACCAGCTGAATGGATCAGCATTTCATGATTGTCAGTGATTGTACAGTAGTATTCATTCCTGTGTGTCCTATCTCACCAGGTGTTGGCACTCACTGTTTTTCCTTGAGCCTCCATCCCTGAAGCCTCTGCAACACAAAAATAAACATAATGAACATAATACGTATACAGTGCACATATGTACATACATGTACAGTGTACATATATATATATATATATACACAGTATATATATATATATAGGAAGAAACAACTACTAGTAGCTCCTGGCATCGATACTAGGAACCCGGGCATCGCTACTAGTACAAGTAGCAAGGACGCTACTGGTAGATTCTTGTTCCATTATAGATTACCAGCAATTTGGAACCCAAAGAGTGAGTTGCTGCCCCTTCACTCCGAGAGTAAAATGGTCCCATTCCAACAGGCAAGTGTGAATAGAAGGGACTATCACTGCTCTACTATTCCACTCTCTCCCCAGCTGCTCTTGGTTGAGATCATCTCATGTTATCTCAATCTCTGTCAGTTCTGCAGCCCGGCCTACCGGTCGATACCTCAGAAACCGCAAGAGAGGCACTGATTCTGAGACTAGATATGGCTGTGGGGCTGTAGGTCATCCAACGGCCTAAGCATGGGAGGTTAGTGCTACTAGTGGCCCATGGTGTTCCCTCACAGAAAGCCTTTCATACCCAAGCCAATCGTTCAAAATCATAGAACGCTCAAAAGCATAGCACAGTCGTTCAAGCCGTAAGGGCATGTCCTGCCAAGGGCTGCGACTATTGACGTGCAGCTTTGTGAGGTCCGGAGCTGGTGATGGCAGGTGTAGGCAATGTGTTTGGAGTCGATCCCAAGACGGGTTGAAAATACCAGCGGAAACGTTTTGGCAGAGGTGCCCTGTTAGGTGACCGACATGGCCAATTTTTTGCCTTTCGCATTGATTGAGACGACCGCAATGAAATACAATATTCAAATATTCATTACAACCAAATGTCTCAAGCACAGTGGTCTGTTGGCTTTTCCCCACAGCTCGCGCTGCATCCGCGTGGCATCACTTGGAAGATCTCCACAGAGATCTTCGTGGCGCCGCTGTCCACCAAGCGACTCTGGAAGGCGTGAGCGCTCTTCCCTCCGGCCGCCAGCGCCGGCAAGGCGAAGAAAAGCAAAGCCGAAGGTGCCAATGGTTCAGGTGAAGCGAAAGTGGAAAATAATGAAAGCATATCAACAGCTTAAGGAATGCACAAGTGAGCAATCTGGCATAAACTGGCTTTGCTCGGCACTCACGGTGGGGAAAGAAGTGGGTCATCAAAGATTTGCCGTGAGCACTAGACCCTGACCAATTCACATCAATTTTACATCCCCAAAGTGCAGATCCCCTTTCAATATGTTCAATGAACATCGACCGAGTCCACTGATGAAATCCCAGACCTATCCTCGATCCACCTCTCCCTTGGACACATAACACCGTTCGTCTGCTTTTGGCAGCCCGTTCATCCACTCTCGTGACTGGGAGGAACCATCGATGTTTTTTGGTCCGGGCGGGGAGTTGGCGGCTCTCACCAATACACACAAATTGGGACCTGGATGATGGTCAGTCAATCTCAGGTTTCTTATAATTCGTAGACTCGAGCTGGGGAACCTCCAACTATGTTTTGTCGGTCCCTCCCCCAATTCCCCATGTCCACAAACCATCCCAGCACGAGTTGCGTAAAGAGGTCGGCTGCTGGCTTGAACTGCTGGTGCTGCGGAAGTCCTGAGAGTTGAAACCAGTCGAAAGACGGTCTGCAAAGTCGAAAGACGGTCTGCAACCTAATAGAAATGGCCTCCAACCAAGTAGCTATGGCCTCCACCCCAGTAAAAATGGCCTCCAACCTGCTGGCGATGGCCTCCACTTTAGTAACGATGGCCTCCACCCTAGTAGCGATGCCTTCACCCTAGTAGCGATGACCTCCAACCTTAATAGCGATGACCTCCAACCTTAATAGCAATGGCCTCCAACCTACCGATGGTTTGAAACCAAACATCTCCCCTACATCTGCCTTCCTCTCGGGCTTGCTGTCCCGGGCACCACCAGGTGCGTCATCGCCCGCGCAGCGTCCCGGTCGGGCATCAGGTCGGTCAATCCCATGCCGGCCAAGGAAGCACCTGACCGACCGGAACCGAAGCCCTGTAGCCTTCGCCCTCACCGGGCAGAGCGAGAAGAGTGAGAGCACCGAAGAGTGAAATGCACAAGTGCACCTAGAGGGCTACTAGTTGTAATGCCAAGAGGGAGGAAAAGAACTTTGGTCACAACTAGCTGCTGTTTAGGGGATGTGAGTTTTGCAACCGATAAACAGTAGCCGCTCTGAACGTCTGTGGAAATCAAAAGCGGCGAAGGAGGCATGGTTCTGCAAGCTGCAGGCAAAATGCTGCCATCATCCACAAAAATTGCAGCTGCCTTGCCTCACTTTAGCATCCACATTGTGCTGGGGAAAAAGAACATATCAGAACTTGTCATATCAGAACTTGTCATAGCAGAACTTGTCATGGATGTATGAGTCTGAGATGGTGGATATTTTCCAGCCCAGTGTCTGATACTGGAAGTGCCAGCATGAATTAATCAACGTTGGACAATTTCAAGCAGGGCAAAAAAACAGCTTTGTCGTGTGGTGGCACTTGGGCCCTTCGATGCAAACGTCGCGGAATCGGCTGAGTCAAGAGAATGAACCGTTGACAGAAGGATTCACAACTGTCCATCACGTGGAGAAGTATTGATCTCAAACTGTCCGATTGAGAAACCTTTGGATCTCAAACTTTCATGTCTGTCACATCCAGAAACCCCAAAAACCTCTCTGGTGGAGAAAGACGCTCCTCCTCCAATCACTAAGAAACTCAGGGTTTGACAGGGCAAACATTTCGTCTGACAGCAGTTTCGGGTGTTCGAAGGCTTCGAGTACTTGTCATGTTGTCCTATGATTAATAAAGGGACGCAAAATCAAGTTAGCCAAGTTCCCGAAACAAAAAAATCAAGATTTGCCACCTTCGTTTATTAATCAGAGGTCAACATTATCTGCTGGTCACTACTACCTGCATCTATCTGCAACGTTCGCTTGTATTCCAACACAAGAACACCAACGAACTTCCCCCTCTTAGGGGCTCACCATGACTGAACCTCAAGTCCCGCAAAACGATCGTTCCGCAGAAAACAGCGTTCCACCATGTCCCCAAAAAACGTTTTTTACTTGTTTTTTTCGCTTTTTCGGTCTACTCTGTCTTTAGACCGCTTCCGGCCGTGGTCCGGAACCGCTGCACGGAAGGACCCGACCACCCAAACCGTGCCTTGGAAATCCCGCAAGAGCATGGCGGCCAACTCGGGGGAGTGTTTCGTCAAGCGAAGATTGGCATCCAACTCCACGACGGCATCGCCTTGGTCGTAGACCGCAAACAGCTGGCGTAGACCGTAGCATGGGATGAAGCTGCGGTCGGTCTAAGCCGTCCTCCCCACGCCGAGGACGAGCCCAAAGAAAAGCTCTATATATAGTCTTTCAGGAGAAATCAGGAGCTGTTGATATGGGTGATTTTGTTCAGTCCTCTGTTAACATCTTCTAAGAAAGAACAGAACTGCACACCACACATGTATCTGACTTTGGGGTACCTACCAGATTGAGTGTCCAGCTGCACTTAATCCTGGAAACTGCTCTTTGCAGGGATTGGGACCATGAAAACACAAGATCTCATGAATCTTTGACGTTCCTCATTCATTGATTTTCTCATGCCACTGTGGTTCCTGCCTGTAGGAACTGATTTCAGAAGCAAAGGTTAAAAAGAATTAACTTCGAAAGTACGTTTGGTGCAACATAGGGTGCCCAAAGAATTACAGTAAATCAATAATTGACCTCCCATCGCGAATAAACAATTGGTGAGCAATGTTTAGCTATTTTCGAGCCCCTTGGTTGACATGTACATCTCTGAATAACTTATTTCTGATGTAATTCTGTTGCAAGGTGTTTTCTATTTGCTGAATATATTTTGGCATGGCTTGCTGTTTGGGGTATACTTTTTGGAGACTACGAAAATAGAAGGGGTTGGACTAGGGAGAGTTAACACTGTCTCATTGAGACCATTGTCTAGAACAAGTGGGGGAAATAATTACTTTGGAATTGGTTATGTTACCGTGTTTGTCTGGATGTGTGCTTACACAACTTGCTGTTTTGGGTTATACATTTTTGGGTTACGCAGTCTCATTAAGGCCACATTTTGAGAAAAACATGTTGGTTTGAACTAATATACAGTGTGCCTTTTTGGATGTCTGTTTGCACAATTTTGGAGATTAGAAAAAATAGAAATCACAAAGCCGGGAAACACTAAATGGAGCATCCAGGTAGAATTAACGTATAGCAGAACAACTGCAAAAAAGATAACTAAATGAGGGAAGTCTTTTGTCAACCAAGACACATGAAAAGCACTAACTCTGGAGGGAATTGTTTTATTATCCACGAGTTAACTACCATGCCAGCAGACCCAAATGACAAGAATTTAATCAAGAGCCAATGCCTTTAAACTCTAAAATTTACTCCTCTTCCTTCCTGCCCGTTTGTCCTTGGTTTTCTCTAACCAAATCCAACTCATTCAAGATCAGGCGCATGCCAAATGCAGCAAAGAGGTGGCAGCGTTCAACCTGGGAAGCCCCGGAAGAGGGTCAACCGGTCCGTGCCGAAACCTGGGGCAGAAACCTGGTGGTTGCTTTGTGATCTGTGTCCTTGGAAACATCTCGGTGGCTGGATCCGATCTTCCTTTCTTTCGCATCTTTCGCTCCGTTCAAAACTCAGGTTTCTGGGTAGTCAAGCCAAGCATATCACCTTTCGAACCAGTCTCCCGAATGCTCTGCCGAGCGGCTGTTGGGACAGCTGCGAAAAGCCCCCTGTCTGCAAGTCCTGCTTGGCGCTTGTCCTGCTTGTCGCATCCGCTCGAAGGCGGGGTCGGTGTGAAAGTTTCCGAGCGGACGACTCGACGACCGAGAGGAGGTTGTCTGTCGACTGAGCCAATGACTGACCCTGCGACTGGTCTGCGAGTCACACAGGTCTGGCTCGCACAAACCAAACAGAAACCGGTTTAGCACCAAATACTGGGGCCGTGTGAGTGGTCAGGCTTTGTAGTGTGAGCACCACTCATGACGGAAGAACCCTCCCTGCATGAACATATATATGATAACATTATACTTATAAATATGCAAGTGTATGCAAATGATTCCATATACACCACTTGGTGATAATGATGCTACCGTGCCAGATCTCGGCAAATCGTGCACGCGAAAACACAAGTTCCCCGGCACCGCCCCACCGCCCGAGATCCCGGCACCGCCCCACCGCCCGAGATCCGGAGAAAGGCGTCGACCAGCAGGGCGGCCCCCATGACGAGAAGACTCCCCACAAGTTCCATGGCCACAAGGCCTGGGAGGCCAGGCCGAGTGGAAGAGACACCACATGTGTCTTTCTTTTGGACATATCAAGCTTCTTAGGCAAAGTATAGTTGGAACTCATTTCGCTATGTTCATATGAAAGTATAACCGGTGTGATTACTCTAGGTAGAGAGAATTACCATGAACGCGACAATGTATATGATTGATTATACCATAATGAATGTATTCCAATATTTGTATCGTAGGTATGTTTAGACTCTCCCTGGATGAGGCATTTGAGGATGTTGTATTGAAGTTTTGGCATGAAATGACCAATCTCATTGTGCCTTGAAGAACCAAAACCTATGCGTTGGGGCTGCCATGGTTGGTTCAGGGTTCTATGATGACCTTTTGGAAGTTCTTCCACGCACGGATTGCTGGTTGGGGCATGATGAGTCACATTCTCAAAACACCGTCCAACAGGTAAGATTAGGAGACTGTATTATTCAATCAGAAACGGCATTATTTCATTCATAACTTTTGCCTTTATCGACCTCATCTTGTCTTCCTTCAACCTTATCATCGCCTTACACTGGTTAGGGTTGCTGAAACATGTGTCGGTTACAGTATTCGGTTGTTATCCGTTTGGAACCTGGTATGCCCCCGGCCCCCGGAATTCCACACCGAAGAGTCAGAATCTGTGATTGTTTGGTATTGCAGGAATTCCATGGGGTAGTGTGCCAGCATGAACAAACACAAATTCTGCATGAGAAGTGGATCAGCAAGAAGTAAAACTTGTACGTTCCTTAAATTCTCTCCTGTTGGTTAGATGCTTCCAAACCAGGCCTCTGACGGACACCTCTTTAGCACCAGAGAACACCTGTTGAAGATCCTAGT